CAGATTCCCTGGAACTGGAGTTACAGACAGTTGTTAGCTGCCATGTGGGTGCTGGGATTTGAACCTGATCTTCTGCAAGAAGAGTAAGCGTTCTTAACCACTGAGCCATTTCTCCAGCCCCAATTTTTAAAATATTTTTAAAGACTGTATTAGTAAATGATCAAAGATAAAAATCACAAAAGAAAATAAAAAATACTTAGATATGAATCAAATGAAAGTTGAACATGTCAAAACATGAGATATATAGTAAAAGCAGTGCTAACATGAGAATTTATAATTAGCAATCTATTATTTAAATTTAAAAACAAAAAATACCTCCACACAGCAATTTAATTTTACACATTAAAGAACCAGAAGCTTGCACATGCAGCAGCTTAAGTGAGTTCAAGATTCAGCTTCACTTGTAACACACTACCATGGCATTGCTGCTGGAGGGACAGTGGACATTAAGACTGAGTTACAAGAAGTATTGGAGATGACTCTCATTCACAATAGCATGACATACAGAATTAATGAAGATGCCAAAGCCTTAGAGAAGTGGCAAACCCGTAATTGGGTGTTTGTATGATGGATGAAGCCTATTGGTGGAAGCACAAAGAGCTGAGAACTTAATAACCTAATAAAGGTTGATGATAACAAAAAACTAGGGGAATGGGTAGGTCTCTGCAAAACTGATAGAGAGAGGAAGCCCTGTAAAGTGGTTGGCAGCTGTTGTCTGTAGCAGTTAAAGACTGGAAGGAATGTCAAATATATCAACAATGAGTACTTCAAGTGGAAGAAATAACAAATTTCAAAACTTTCAAACTTGACCTTAGGGCTAGAGAGATGGCTCAGTGGCTAAGAGCACTTCCTGCTCTTCCAGAGGACCCAGTTTGGTTCCCAGCATCCACAGAGTAGCTAACGTATGTCCTTAACTCCAGTTCCAGGGGCTACAAGGCCTTCTTCTGGCCTCACAGAAGCCAGGCATAATATGGTGGACTTATATTCATATAGGTAAAACACTCATGCATATAAAATTTCCAAAATAAAATCTTAATTTTTTTAATTGACCCTATTGCTGAAGACATCACATTCTTGAGTCACAGAACATGGAAAAATCAAACTGGTACTGACCTCAAACCTTCATCCCTACCAGCTAGGTTTCAGTGCTGGAAGGTGCTATGTACACCATCAGGAGAGAAAAGTAATCATTAATCTTACCCACACTGTGAATCCTTCATGTTACAAGTATGATTAGCCTAGCAACACATGACCAGTTGGTCCAATGTGGCATGGATATCATGAGAGTAACCAAATATTGGCTGAATTTAAGGCAGACTCCACAAGATGATACCCATACTTGGCACCGTTACTGGGGCCAAGGACCTGTGGCTAGATAAGCCATAGACCCTAGGGGAGATCCTACTACTGTTATTCTGTTAAATGGACATAATATTAAATTGATTACTAATGACTCATCTTTACACCCACAGATCAGTGCGTATGTTTCTTTCTGCAGTAGATGGCAATTAACACACAGCCCCACAACTGGTCAACATGCAGAGAATAAGAGACTGGTGTGCTGAGCTCCAAATGGGACGTCTACATCACACCCCTCCCTCTAAGCTCAGGGATCAGTGTTGAAGAAGTGGCAGAAAGACCATAAGAGCCAGAGGTATATATGACTACAACAAAACAGTATTTTCTAGATACAATAGGACATATGACCCACAGCAGTTATAACAGCATAAGACCTGCACAAGCTCAAGTCAGACAAAATCCTCACATGGGGGTTGGGGGAGAGATGGACACAAAGCTCCACCTCTAGCTAAGGAGCTTTTGGCAACCTGTAGTTACTGGGAGAGGGAAAGTCAGTTTTCTTTAAGAGTGTGACCATTGGTATACTGACCATGCTCCAGATGATGGCCCCATAACCCAGAGTATTTGGGGAACACAAATTGGACTTTATTGGGCATAAAAAAAAAATAAGACACAAAGTAGGCATGTAGGGAGGTAGGGGTGTATCCGAGAGGGGGAAGGAGTTGAATATGATCAAAATATATTGTATATATTCTCAAAGAAGTAATAAAAATCCTATTTTTATAAAAGAACCAGTAGAAGAACAATCTAAACAAAGAACTAACAGAGATAACTTAAAGTGAGAATAGAAAAAAATAGGCTCTATGAAAATAGCATCAATTTATAGAAATTAATGTATGAAAAATTTTAATGTAAGCTAGCTACTTTAGTGAAACTTCATGAAATTATTTTGTGTGAAGAAATGAGAAGAAAATATACCCATAACAATTTTAACAGAAATAAAAGAATATAGATAATACCTTGGAGGCCCGAATCTGCCTGTGAACATCTGTTAGTTGCTGGATTTTGTATTCTAGCTCTGAGATCTGGGCTTGAAGCCAAGTCCAACGGCTGCCGACTCGTGCTCTGTCTACAAGCCACTTCCATTCAGTACTAGAATTACTGTAAATAAGACAGACACTATTAGTCAAAACACAAAGGCAATTAAGATGTCAGAGGCTGCTTAATAACATCCTTGACTACTGTCATAAAATCCATTTTTTCCACATATCTAACTATAGAAAAGGGCAGATTGACTTCTTATCAAAGAAGAGATTTGATTTCCTTACCTTTCTACCTACAAATACTGGGTTTTATTCAATATTATGTATCCAGCAGTAGGATAATCATTATTTAATACTTATTAATGATAAGGGCCTAAATATGAACAGGCCAGTATAAAAAAGGATACATGAATGACAATCATAATACCCTGTAAAATTTGCTGCATAAAGCTTTTATATGTAAGTAGATGTCAAGTATTGGACAATCCATTTGAACTACATCTGAAATACAATAAACTATAATGTAATTGATTTAACTATGTAATTTCTACTTGTTAAAATAAGTATCACTGACTACCTAAAACTTAAAAATAAGATTGGTCAAAATTTTCAAAACTTTGAATTATCTACTACATTTCAAATAATCATTCCAGATACATAGGTCTTAGGACGTTTACTATGATAAACATCTTGTTAAAAACTTAATTACCAAGTTCCACAATTCACAGAACTCAAAGAATTTATAAAAAGGTATTTTTTCATGCATACTTTGAAATAAATATTGAAGCCTACCTTCTTTTGGCAGGGACAACTGCTCTAATCTGTAGTATGTGAGATTTCAAATGAATTATTGCATGAAAATATTCTCTTTATTTAAGTGTTTCAATGTTCAGTATGCATGCTGATATGTATGTAGTGCCTGCAAGTACTCTTAACCCTTGAGTCACCTCTCCAGCCCCTCATGAAAATATTCTAACCATTTCACCTAGAAAAATAAATATTTGGAATTATACATGGAGGGGAGAGAGGGAAGGGAGAGAGGCAAAGGAGACAGGGAGGGAGGACAGAGGGAGGGAGGGAAAGAGAAGGGGATGGGGCAGAGGGAGAAAAGAGGAAAATGAGAATGAGAATTAGGGGATATAGACAGTCAAGGGAAAATCAGAAACTGAAGGTATAACAGAGTTATAACTAGTTAACAATAAAACATATAACTTATTTTTTAAACTTATTTAAAATGTATTTATTGTCAAAAATCATAGAATGTATACTATCAATGAACCATAATGTAAATTGTGAGTGATAATGATAAATCTATATAGGTTCATCAATTATAGCAACTGATATAGAGTTGCTACAGAGGGGGAAGCTGTGGGTGTGTGAGGACAGAGGGCAGAACTCTACTATGTTCTCAAGTTTTGTTGTGAACCTAACACTGCTCTAAAAGCTAAAGTTTATGAGTTTAAAAGATGCATTATATAATAAATTAAAGCTAGAGAAAATAAGACATACATTTCTATGAGATAAACAGAAGACAATTATTGTAACTTTGTTACATTGAATTTAATAATTAAAATGGGATTTTATGCCAGTATTTCCAAAAAGCTATAAAAATATCTTTTTTGGTCTTTTTGAAGCAGGGTTTCCCTGTAGCCCCAACTGCCCTAGAACTCACTATGTAGACCAGGTTGGCCTTGAACTACAGAGAACTGCCTGCCTCTGCCTCCCAAGTGCTGGGACTACAGGCATGCACCACCATGCCTGGCTTTATAAAATATTTTAATTGCATGTAATATGAATGAAGATACCATATGCAATAGGATGTCTCTACTAGTAGTAGTAGTATATTTTCAGTTCACAGTATTGCAGTTTAGCAAATTCTGCACTAAAATTACATTTTTAAATTTTTTTTGTATTTTATATGTATGAGTGTTATGCCCGCATGTGTGTAGGTGCCCCTTTGTCATGCAGTATCCACAGAGGACAGAAAAGGGTTTGGAATCCCCTGAAACTGGAGTTACAGTTAGCTGCCATGTGGGTGCTGGTATTCAAACCCAGGTCTTCTGCAAGAACAGCAGTGCTTTTAACTGCTGAGCCATCTCTCCAGCCCCAAAATTACATTTTTTATGAATATGGGCAAAATGAGACAGAGCCTATTTATAATTCACTATTCACAGGTAATATTTAGTAATAGTAAATGTCAATTATAAAATTTAGAGAGGAGGGCAAGAGCCATACCATGCACAACTTGCATAGGAGAAATAAACTGGATTTTAATGCAAACTTTTGGAAGCTATAGGCAAAGAAATAGCAAAACTATTTTCTGAAGCAATGTGGCTAGTAAAGCATTATAGTGAGACATAGCAAGAAGATTCAGTCATAAGCATTTGATTGTGGTACAAATTGTAGTCTCTAAATACCTCATGTGCTACTCCTACATTTTCTAGCCTTCTTTGTACTTAGGTTGGAGCCATGTGATAAGTAACTATCAACAGACTGTGACCAAAATGAACAGTCTCACTTTTAGTATACATGAGGACTTCCAAACCACTAGTACAGATTCTATAGCTACAAAATCATTCTAGGAGGAGGATATCCCAAATCATTCTGGCCTTTAAAACACTGGGACTAAGATGCTAATTCAATTGTTATTCAATATAGCCTGTTCTGACTAAAACACTGAATATGAAATAGCTTGGACTGAGAAAAGAAGATAAGCAAGATCAAGTAGGTAACGTTCATTTAAAGCTGATGGACTTAGAGAAGTTCAGTGTGGAAATAACTACGAGGAAATCAAAGATAAACTGTTTCATTATATTTTGCTCCAGTTAGAAAATTTCCCTATAACATGCTAATTTGGCTGGCTATGACACTGATGACAAATGATCAAATATAAAAGGGAAATATTTCATTTTTTTAATATTACAGCTCTGGTGAAAATATTGTTACTGACGTTAGTATCACAAGTCATTTTTATGTTCATATATTCCATCAAATTACACTGACAGAGAAATTGCAAACTAGATTAAATTTACATGAACTAAATAATGCTGAAGCTTTGTAATATGTGGGATGAGCTTTTGCAATAATTTATCCTACATTTTAATAGGAATAAATAAAAGCCTGTTTGCTGTGTGTAAGCATGGCAGACAAGCTTTTTCTCCCAAAATACTTTGTTGCTTGAAAACTACTTTTCTTAAAAATAATTAAGGTTGTGAGGAGGGAAAGGAGGCTATACAAAGAACTATGGGAAGAAAGGGGAAGAAGGAGCTCAAAAGAGGTGGGACCACAGCATATAGGAGTTACACGGGAGAAATGGCGAAAATGACACTTTTAGATGGGGAGGGCAGGGAGAGAGGATAAGACATGGAGAGAAAGAGGAGAGATAAATAGCACCTAGCTAGTATAAAAAAACAGAGGGAATGGTGTTAGTCCAAAACCCTACTGAAAAATTGCACTTATAATATCCCTACATGAGTACAGCTGAAGACTACAAGAAGCAGTGCCAGACAGGAGAAACCTTCCTTTGAGTTGTTGGCCAGGGTAATCCAAGAGACTCCAAAAATTACACAGGTTATTGCCACAGTCCTTGATTGCCTCCCAGAACTTGATGGTAAAACCCTATTGTTAAAGACAGGACATACTTTGGACACAGGATTTAAAGCAAGGCTGGAACTGACCTGGAAGCCACCTCCCCTGGAGGCTGCCTCTCATAGCTTTGGAGAGCACTATGCAAGCTGCGAAGGGAGAACATTAGATGATGGTCCAACCCCAGTTTCAAGGCCTAAAAACCACATCAATGACCAGCACAGCAAACAACATTGGTACAGTACTGGCACTTTTATCTTGGGGGCAATCAACAGCTACCTAACTGGACTTAAAGCCCACTCAATGGGAGGAAACTCATGTGTGGAACTGTGAACCTCGCCAAATACACATAGCTGGAGAGGTCACAGATCTTAGAGAAAACTCCAAGGCTGTCACATCCCTAGACAAATGTAATTTCTTACTATGTGCAAAATATGGGTCCTTAAATTTATAGACAAGTATCCCAGTCACCACCCATCAAAGAAGCTTCTTTTTTGACAGATAATTACAGAGTTCCACAACTTGTCACATACAGAGACTGTCTGTGAATTATCCAAGTATAAGTGGCACATCTAAGATGCAATCTCCACACCTGAGGCTCACAGAACATAGAACAAGGGATGAAGAGAACACTAATGTATCTTTCAGTTCTCATCAATGAAGCTCTCTCAAGCAAGAGAGGGCCAAGGAAGCAAAAGGTCACAAGTGCCCAAAATGTAGAGAATGAGAGTCTGCAGAGTGTGGGTCCTTGGATAGTACTCATATATCAAAATTCACCCACCCAGGGCTCAGGGACCATTGGGGAAGAGGGGGCAGAATGATTGAAAGAGCCAGGGAGGAGGTGCATGACCGGGCTTCTGGGCCTCATCTCATATGAACTTACAGCAATAGTTTCAGCATGCACAAGACCCACGTAAAGTTAAGCAAACAAAAACCCAGCACAGAACTGCAGAAAGGAGCAGCAGGCCCCAATCCTAGCTGAAGAATTATTGGCAGCTGCTGGGTGACGGAGAGCTGATCTTCTTAAAGGGAGGGACTCTAGATAGGCTGACTAGATCCCAGTAGATGAACTTGCACAGAAGGATATCTGGGGACACTAACTTTATATGATAGGCCTTAACATAAATGACAGAATGTATGAACTCCACTGGGGGGGCTATGAGAGGGTGCCGAAGGGGACGGTAGTATAAAGATGATTTTTCATAAGAAATACACAAAAATTTAATCAAAAATTTAAAAATTAATAATTAAGCTTGTAAACGTCATAGATAACACATAAGTATATCATTAACTTGCTGGAACACCTGTTGTATAGAAAGTCAAAATATGATTAATGTAAACAAGTTATACAGCCAATGATGTAACTCAAATATTAGAAATACTTCATTCCCACTCTATAGTTGCCTAGAGATAAATAGGTGATATTGTAAGATACATGTGTGTATTCGTGTTTGCATAACAATACAGTATTGAGAGTGGGTTTGGTTTTGAGACAGGATCTATGTAGCCCAGATTTGTATCTTGTTAATTACC